GTGGAGGCAGTCTGGGTTCTGGCAACACATGGACACATACATTGCTGCACACCCCATTTGAGAAAGCACGTGAATGTAACACATGCACACACACACACAGGAGTGCACAACCTCAAAGGGGACAGCTGCCTGACCTCAGCACCCCTCGGCATCTCAACCTACTGGTGCCCCTGCTCTGCACAATCTGCTTAGTGCCCATCCCACCCGCTTCCGAAACTCCCAAACCTGAGCCAGGACTGCAGCTAGAGCTGGAGGAGGCAAGTAGGAGTTCTTAGTGGTTGGTGTGCTCTTTCCAAACATACAGACTCAGAAGCTACAACACCCTCAAAGGTACACAGGACCAAAGGTACCTGAGCCCTTCTAGAATGAAGCTTGGTGGAGTCCCTCTAAGCAGTGGCAGGTGCTGGGTGTCTGGCAGGGCTGGGCTTCCAGCCTTGGGCCTGGGCCTCTCCGCCATGCTCCTGGAGCGTGCAGCGCAGCTGTGGCCCCCTTCCTGGGTCTGCTTATCTCATATCGCACACGCTTGGCCCTCAAGGGGTGACCCAGCCTTGCTCCCCACATTCCTCTCGTTGTGTAGACGGTAGGCCCCCCACAGCCCTGAGACTCAGCTTGTGCTTGGGGGGTGGTCAAAGCCACCACTCAGCCATGCTCCCCTGCTCTCTGCAGTCACTGCTGCTGTCTCTGTCATGATGCATTTGTCTATTCCTGTATCTTTCTCTTGGCTTGCCCCAATTTGTTTCTTTCTTCTTTCAGTCTGTTTTTCTTTTCAGGGTCCTTGAGGACTCCTTTCTGACTCATAGTGACCAGTCTCGATGGGAAGGTACATGAAAAGTCAGACCATGGAAGACCAAAGGGCCTGGAAAAGTGGAGGCCCATCCTGGGAACCAGGGGTAGTTGGAGTGGCATAAATGTAGGACCTAGGAGCCAGCCCAGGTAAAGAAAAGGTCCAGGGCTGGAGCTGGTGGGTTCCCCCATGTAGTAGAGAAAGACTGGGGGGAAGGGGAGGAAGCTGGGACTGGAGGTCTTGGCCTGAGGGCCTCCTTCCTGTTTGTAGGGAAGTGACTGCCTCAGAAAACTGCTGGGGGAGAAGAGGGAGGCCATGGAGACTTCCAGGAAGCTGGCCAAGGGCCTAAGGCCACCCTCCCTGTGCCCACATGGGGCCCTCCATCCCCAACTTAAAATAGTACAGTTCCTCCATTGCTGCTAGATCCAGCCTGGACCTCAAAGAGTCACAGCTACAGCTTGAGCTGCTAGTAGGGGTCCCAGGTGTAGGGAATCTACCTGGCTATCCAGTTCTGCTCAGACTGCAGCTGGAGGCTATCCTGGCCATATGGAGAAAAACATGGATCCCAAATCAGAAGTCCTGAATGCAAGTCTCAGCTCCCACACTGACCAGCTTCAAGACTTTGGTCTAGTATCCATCACCTCCCTGAGCCTCTGTCAGGATGTGCAAAACTGGTGCATGCCTGCCTTTCAACTAAAATGAGACAGTGGTGTGGCTACCTCAGAGCCTCAGCAGGCATAAAGTGGACACTCAGAACCTAGGAGCTCCCTTTTGTCTCTGGTTGGCTGTGCCTGGAATTCTTACCCCCTGCAGAAGTGCTTCCTTACCACACTTGCTAAACCTACATGTTCTTAGGACTGGGTGCAGGGCAGGGAAGGCTTGCAGAGAGGGAGCTTGCAAGGAGGGCAAGGATGGGGCTGTGGTCTCCATGGTGAGACTTGTTGCCAAGGGAACAAGACTCCAGAAGCCCTAGGTCTGGCAGTTGGGCACTTTTGCCACAGGATCTGGCAGGCTGATTGTTACTGTACCTAAACTGATGGGCAACCAGGCCAAGGCCAGGCCAAGTAGAGAGGAGGCTGTGCTGGGCCTCTGCTGCAGAGGTGGAGGGACTGCAGCTCCCAGCACACAATTTCCTTGCACAGACTAGGACTACAGTGAGTCCTGACTTAGAGCTAGCCACTGTGTTTCTAAAGCCCCTGAGCACAGGCACCATCATCTATGAACAGGGCAAGTGGAGGATCAAAGAGGTATCTATCTGGGTCAATGTTAAATACAACTGGGGAGGGGCTGAGCTGGAACAGAGGAACTGGTGAGACTCCTTGTTGATGCTCCTGCTGTCTCACAGTCTAAGGGAAATAACCCTGGAAGGACTCCCTGTAGCCAGACCACCTCCTTCCTCCACTCTTCTCTGTTATCATTTCTAGAGGTTTCTGGCTTTGCTGATCCAGCCCAGAGAAGCCAGCATCCTGCTTCTGGTTACATGGAGATCCTTACTTATCTCTGGGTTTGCTAAGGAGCTCAGTCAGCACAGATGCTGCTCAATAGGCTCTCGTGTTCATTTCTATGCCCTTGTGAGCACTCCCTAGTTAGGTCACTTTAGGCAAATTACCCTCTGGGCTTTAGTTTTCTTACCTATAAAATGGGATCATTACAGCTCGTGCCTAACAGAGACTGTTCTGGGGGGTGACCTAATGGACTTGTCACTGCAGTCCCTGCTCTGTTACTTTATTCCAGTGCTGGGACTGAACCCAGGGCCTTGCACACTGAGCTATACCCCTACACTCCACTATTCTCCCCTTTCCAGCACTCCAGGAAGGTCAAAGCTCACCGTTACTTAAGTAGGAACTTAAAAATTTGGAGAGCAGTGTCCTAAATTTTATCCCATGCAATGCTGGCCCTACAGAATTTTCACAGGAGGGGGAAAAAAAAATACAACATCCAGATATTTTTGGTCCAAGTTAGACAAAATTTGTTTTCTTCAGGTAGGACTTCCCAGAGCCTTTGCTATACAAAGGAAGTTTGGGAGTCCCTGAGAGGAAAATAGAGTGCAGCATTTCCTCAGTTTTGGCTTCTTTTCTAATGGAGCCAGCCTTCATGTGTGCCTATGTTCAGTGAAACCGTGCAGACTGTGGCACTCTTGGGACATTGCTTTTCAGTCCAATTAGGCAGGGTCTATATAGTCCATTTATAGGATTCATCTTTCATTGGTTTGTTTTTTAGTAGCAAAAGGTTCAACCAAAGGCTGTTCTTCCTAAGTTTTGTTACAAACTCCAGACGTTGCTGCTCAGCACTACTGAACAGCTAAGGCGAGCAGAGAGGAAGCTGTTGTAACTTTGGTAATCAGATAGACCTGGATTCAGAAGCTCTTTCTGTCACTTGATCATTGTCATCTTAAGCAAATGACTGAACTTCCCTGAACCTGTTTGGGAGCAAAATGAGGTTAAGACCCTATACTGCCTGGGCAGTTCTAGGATGACTGGGCCTGATGCAGGTGACCTCAGGGTGTGCAGGGTGTGGCTGTTGCTAGGCAGCCAGTACACTCCCTTCTCCTGCCTCAGTATCTGCTCCCTCTTGTGGGGCTGCCTATTGCCTCCTTCTGCTGTGGTCCCTTTGTTTCCAATCACCTCTTTCAAGCTTCAAGGGCTCTCTGGCTCCTTGTACTGGGCACAGAGGCATGGAAGGCAGCTGGGTGTCCGGGTTTCGCACAGGACAATTTAACAGTCTGATGAGACACTTCTGCCCTTTATCTCCCCACACAGAGAAACCTACACGACTGTCTTCATAGCCCTCACCCTGCCTGTGTGGACAGGATTATAGGACAGCTAGGCTCTGGGGCTGGGCTCAGACACTTCCTGTGTGACTCTGGCCATGTCCCTTGACTTTTCAGAGTCACCATTTGCTTAACTCTAGATAAACTATGAAGGGACCTCATCTGTTTTCTGGAGAGTAAGGAGTTAATGTGCTAGATCACAGAGTAGGTGAGGCAGGCCATCCCTCCACAACATACTGCATCACTGACAGAACAGACTCAGCAGATAGACTTCTCCCAAACTCCGGCAGGCAGCACTCGAAGCCCCCAACCACTTCCCCAGGTTCATCCTTCCGTCCTGCTCCGTTCTGGATTATTGCAGAACATGCTGTGGTATCTCTAATCTGGTGTGTCCTCCTCAGCCTGGTGACTTTCAGAACCATTCATCCGGGAAGCCTGATAGGTAGAACAAGCTACCCCTCTGGGTCCTTACTACCTTCTCTGTCCCAAGTCACAACCCTCTTCTCACAGTACTGCAAAGGTGTCTCCTACCACGTTATTCTCCTAGTTGAGCCTTTTTCTGGCTGGGAAACCTTTCGCCTTTCTCAACCCTAGTTTCTTCATTTATAAAACAGAGGTAATATTCCTTGAAGCTCACAGAGGTCCAGGTTTGCGAAAAATCCCAAGGCACTTTAGTCAGTGCCAGCCCATCCTCCAGTTTTGAGGCAGACCATCCTCTGCCAGGCCCTCAGCAAGAGATGGGGGTGGTGTTGGCCACGAGCAGGAGTCCATGCCTCTGGACACCCCATGGTCCCTCCCGGAGTCCCAGATAAGCTTCACAGACAGATGGCATGTGCAGAAGGATTCACATTTATTGGTTCAAATACAGTACCTAACACTTGCTAAACATGCATTTCACACTAATTGGTCACATTTCCACAGGTAGTCAATTCACAGAACAGGGCCCACCCCTTGCTGGCAGGCAAGTGTGGGAGGTAGCAGAGGGCCTGAGTAGCCTGCAGAGCCCGCCAACTATCATTTGGTCATGCAGGGTTGATGGAGCCAGGCTGGCAGGCAGCCCTTGGCCGGCCCTTTGGGAACAAGGGCTCAGAGACATCCCGTTCACTTGATTCCTCTACAAGATTGTGGGAGGAGGAGAACTGGGAGGTAGCTCAAGATTCATGTGTCATCAGAGCTCCTAAAGGTGGTGTTCTCCTATGCTATGGAGCATAGGAAGGGGTGATAGCCTCTTCCAGGAGTGTCTTGTCCCTGGGCAAGTGGGAAGGACTACTACTCAGACACAGCCCAGACATTACAAGGCAGCCACAAGCCCCTATCACAGGCCTGGGATGGCAACACAGACAAAAACACCAACAGCCCAGGGCTTTGTTCCCGACAGAAACATGTAAACAGCACAGGAGCTACAGTATTCTTTTCCCACAGGACTCCTCAGAGAGGAATTGACCAGGATGTCACTTAAGAGGTAGTCTTTCTCTCTTTTTTTTTTTTTTTTTTTCATGGAAATTTGAGTCAACATTATTATCTATTATATTTCAGCAAAGAAAACAGTCACCAAAAGGCAAGAGGACCCTTTGGCCGGCAGGCTGGCTCCAGGATTTGAAGACTAGCCTCCACCAGTAGCACATTTTTCTTGGGCTTGGAGCAGACCCTGGTCTTCCTCCCAGCTTTCCTTTGAGTCTATAGCTGATACCTGAGCAGGCTAGGGTACATTTAGGGCTGCAGGCCCAGAAGGGCTGTCCTGGGCAGAGGGACCAGGCTTCCCATGAACTGGTAGAGGACTACTGGGGCTTATGCGCAGGACAGTCAGAAGTCTTCAAGTCTTGAGGGAGCCTAGACCTAGCAAAAGAGGCAGCTTGCTCCCAGCTTGGCAGACTCTGGGGTTGCTGCCTCCGAGGAAATAGGCAAGGTCTGGCTCTCAAGCCCAGAAAAGATGTTACTTGTGGCAGCCAAAAGAGGGCTTTCTGGGGACCCTGTAATTAAATACACATCCCTGAGCTGTGGCCCCAGAAGCGCCTGCCTCAAGGCTGACCAATTTCTAGCACCTGGTGGGATGATTGCCGTTTTTCATCCTAAGACACAGATAAAACACTACTTCACAGACACTGGGCATGAGGAAAAAAGGGAGGATGATCATCAGCAGAGGGGCGTGTGGGGTAGTTTCATGGATCAAGGTGGGGGAGTAAGCGTGGTGGGTTTTTTTTTTTTTTCTTATTTTTAAACTTTAAAAAGTCAATAGGAAAAATTAAAAGTTGAATAGAAGGGCTGGTCTGAAGGACTGAATTTCTTAAAATAAACTGCAAAATTTTTTTAAAAAGTAACAAGGGAAAAAACACCAGAGTTCCAAAGCTAAAGACTTGGAACCAATGCTCAACTTTCTGCCCTTTAGAGAGACCAGAGCCCCTTTACTTTAGCTAACCTTGGTCACAACTTAAAGACTGTCTCCATCTGTCCCATTCTCCTCGAAATCAAGAACAAACAAAGGCAGGTACTGGGTAGCAGGGCAAGACAGCTGGTCCAGGGAGGTCAGGGTTTTAGGGATCTGATCTACTGACTGCAGCAGGCACTCACTTCCCTGAGTGGTGGGGCAAGTCAGAGGCAGGTTGGTGTGAATGGGCAACTCTGAGGGATGCCTCTATGTTCTTCTATCTCTGCTCTGGTTCTGGGGATCAGCACAGGGAGGTTTCTGCTTGCTTCCTTCTACCCTTGGAGGCCTGCTCATCTCACTGGTAGGTTGGGCCTGGAGGACTGTGTGTCCTGAGTCAGGTGGAGTGCTTTGAGACAAGTTTTGGATAATTTCTCCAGACTAAGGGCAAGTACACCAAACCTTGCGAAGGACTCCAAAAGTCTACAAGGAGGGCCAGAGACCATGAATTACAGATGAAGCTCCAAGACCCCAAACTTTTATCTTGGGTCAAGAAAATGTTCTCAAGGGAAGGAAGGGGAAAGCTTGCATGTTTCACCACAGTGCAAGGAGGTAGAGGCTCCTTTCTATGTGGCTTTCAGGGTTATATTTTTATGGTGGAAAAATTCTCACTCAAAGTGAGTATTTTTAGTGGCTCAGATTAGAGAGAGGACAGAAGAGAGAGGAATTAGAGACAACACACGTTTTTCCTTCTTCCACTAGCAAAAAGGCTGCCTGCTAACCAAACATTACGGGGAAAAAGGCAAAAAACAAGCATATCAAACCTCCCCCTCCAACCTTTCTCTGTGTCCTTCAAACCAAAATCACAAATACATCTAGTGGCTGACCTAATGTCTCCACGCTGCTAGCTACACTCCTACCTTCTCCTCAGAATACCTGAGTTTGCAATGCAACACATTCACTTTACCCTGTTTAAAAGAAGCCCATGTCATAAAAGGACTGGGTGCAGAAGACATTAAAGGCGGTCCACAGGTCAGGCTCTGGCTCAGAACACACAGCCACTTGGCTCAGAGATTCTGCAGGGCTCTTGGCAATGAATGGGCTCTTTGTTCTGTGGAATCTGCTGCAAACATTGTAAAAATGGATTTGTACAATGGCAACTTGCAGAACCTTTCCCCCACTCCACAAATTAACAACTTGCTCTGTTTAAGACTATATTATTGGGGAGACATGTTCTTGCCTCATCAGAGAGCAATTCCTTTGACACCCAACACAACAGGTAAAATACTAATTTGAAAAGCAGTTTCAGAAACTAACAATTTGATAAATGGAGGTCTAAGCAAAGAAAGCTGCTGCATACAGGAGCTCTCTTCACCACTACCTGATATATGTCTCCTCCCCGAGCTTGAAGAAAGCAGCTTAGAATCTGACCTGTAGCCAAAGAATGTGATCTAGTTGGTTAAATAAAAAATTCAGGCAAACAAGAAAAACACTGTGAACTTAGAAATACACAGATACATAAACACATATACATGTCTTCCCACTGACATGTGAAAAACATGCTATCTGGAATTTTTCCTGAGAGGAAATGCTCTGAATTTTGGATAAGGGACATAATCATCACTTTGCTGGTACCCGTAACATTTCACTAGAAAGAAAAAAATTAGAAGTAGAGACTACCCAGAATGCAAAGGATGTGGTAGCCTCCTGGGTAGATTAAGTAGGCTGAGTTGGGGAAGAGTAAACAGCCTCTGACCAAATGGGCTGAAGGAGAGACTATGGGTCCCTCAATCCCACCCAGAAATGTACCCAGCTGAGCAGTACTGGCAGTAAGAGGTGCCTAGTGTAGGCAGAGAAGGGAAAAGCACATGAAGCAGCTCCAAGATGAACCTGGTGGAGTCCTGGCCAAAGTCTGGCCAAAGTCTGGAGGGGTAGGAACTCCTTCTGGAACTAGACAGGGCAGGTAGTGACAGAATAAGGGTCCAGGCTGCATCTGCAGAAGCAGCAGTCAGGTCCTTAGAAACATGAGGTAGTTGAAAGCCCCTTTCCTTTCCAGGTACTTCTGGCTCCATCCCTCCAGGCCTTTAGTAGGCCTGGCCACTGACAATACTTGAGGGAATAGTTAGGCTTATTCTGGGTCTCAGCTTCTATTCTAGAGCCTTGGCAAAACTGATTTTATTTCAGAAACATTAGGAGCACTTAGAATTTAGGAGCGAAATCTCTGGTCAGCAGATGAGGGAATGGTCCTTTCCTCTGTTTAAAAAACAGTAGTTTTTGGATTTGGTTCTGGGAATGAGATGTGGGGAATAATAGGGGTTCCCAAAGAGTATTTATTATTTCAGCAGCTTGGCCTTTGTCCCTCTACCCTTAGAGGAAAACAAGTTAAAGGAGAATGAATCAGAAGTGGGCCCCAGGATTCAGAACATGGCATTTTGCTGTCAGTTTTCTAAAGGGCTGCCGAGAAGTCAAATTCATAAGGGAAAGGGCAGAGCCTGAGGAAGGTAGACCTTAGTAGAACTGGATCAGGAAACTAGGTAGCTGTAAGCTCAAGGGATACAAAAGTCCTATGGACCAACTTATTGCCAGGATGCTGCCTAGATGAAAAGCTGATAGTAGCAGTCAATAGACAGCTGTGCGCAGGGTGGAAGAGGTGCAGCAGGGGGTGAGAACAGAAACTCTTGTCCTTAGGGCTTGTGGAATGGGAGGTGCATGCTGTATGCTTGGTCGCTGTGCCCTACTCTCATACTTTGCAAAGGAAAGAGATGATGGCTAATTCCTCATCTTGTCTTTCCCAAACGCTTTACCTACCTCACTTACAAAGCTCCCTACATATACCACTTCGTCCCTTTGGTGTATTCTTTTTACCTGACAAATCTGTGGCTAGAAAAAGGCAATTTACTCTCTAACAGACAAGTGTATAAATGTCTGCTGAGAAAATGTGGGAAAAGTAGGGGTGGCCACATCCCCATTTCCATTGAGGTAGTTGTCTCTGTCAACTTTATGGAAATAGTCATCTCAGCCCATCCCACCCTCTCCCTCAAAATACAAAAGAACTATCTCTAAACAACGACAACACTGTAACATTAAACATCTTCACATTCTGTAAACTGCAAGGAAATGCCTCTGCTGCATTCACACAAAAGCATGTGCATCAATGTTGAAGGCCATACATTCAACTCTGTCGTGAAATAAATATATAGAAAAATGAGGTTAAAAAACAGACAAACAAACAAATTCTTCTCGCTATGGAGGCAGCTGCTCAACAGCCTCCATCTTGGTCTCTCTGGCTCTTTCCGCTGGAGCCTGTCCTGCGTACCCAAGGCACTGTGGGCCGCCGGAGGAGGATGCAGGAAAACAGGTCATTCCTTCACAACACTTGTCTTGCAGGAATGCAGCACCACCTTAAAGAGGAGGGGCAGCTGCTCCAGGGGCACGTTCACCATCTTTCCTGGGTAAAAGGAGAGAAGAGAAGTTAGTGGTGGCCACTCCAGGAGGGCAAGCCTGCCTCCTCTGAGGCTGGTAAAGGGGCATTAGGGCAAGAGAAGTACCTGGAGTACCACAGAGGCCACAGAGCATGGATAGCACCAGTAGACTAGGCTCATGCTGGTGCTCTCAGGAGACTGGTGATGGAGCCAGCTCATGCTCACTCTTCTATCTGTGACACTTACTCTGTGCCAGGCAGTTCAATGTACTGTCTCATTCAGACTCACAATATTTCTGCCTGATTGTTGCTTTTATCCCTATTTTTCAGAAGAGGATCTGAAACGGAAAGGCAGTCCCTCTCTGACCCTTGCAGCTTAAAATGCTATGAGAAACTCGCTTCCTGCCCCCCCGATTCCCAACTCTTTTAGCAGTCTATAAAGTACTGCTCTTCAAAATAGAATAATTGATTAATAAAAGTAATAAAAAGTACTAAGGAAGTAAGGGAAGGAGTTACAGGGGCAAATTAATTTGAGATGTTTCGGGATAAAAGAACTGATAGGTTTTTTTCACTGAAGAACTTCTCAGAGCATTATGTACAATAATATACTTTATAAGCATGTTCTCCCTGACAGTATCTTTGAGTCACCTGAGGCGGGGGTGGGGGTGAGGAGGGTGTGCCATTTAAAATATACTGATGCCTGAGTTTCACCCACACCAATTCAATCAGAATGCCTGGAGATGCAGCACTGGTGTTTTCAAAGGCTTCCTAGGTGATTGAAAATGCTGTAAGGTCCAGCTCTATATTGCTCTGTGGCCCAAAAACGAGAGAAAATATTCCCTGGTCAGACTGACATTTTTTTTTCCCCTTCAAAAATTGTACTGTTGAATTTTTCAGAAACAATTTCAGTTTAAACATCTCTAGCTGAGGGAAACAAGCATCTTTACTAAATGAAATAAAGCAACAACAAAAAAAGCCAAGATCATATACTGCAAAAGACCTACAAAATGTCAGGAAGCTCAGCAGAGGGGTCAAGACCACAAACAAATCAGACCCCAACACATCAAATTCTGTTATAAACATAGGAGCTTGAAGGTGCCACTTTATATGGCCCTGGAAAGCCTATGGGTGATCCTATGAAACAATGTCTTTAGAAACTGACTTAAAATTCACTATGTAAAATTCACTATCTTGTGCAGGCACACCTGAGAGGCAGAGGCAGCTGGATCTCTGTGAGTTCAAGGCCAGCCTGGTCTACACAGTGAGTTCTAGGCCAGTCAGAGCTACACAGTGAAATCTTGTCTCAAAATAAAGTAAAAATTTAATTAAAGTATACAGTTCAGGGGGCAGAAGAGATGGCTCAGCAGTTAAGGGCACTGACTTCTCTTATAGAGGACCTGGGGGTTTGATTCCCAGCACCCACACGGTGGCTAACAACCGTCCATAACTCCAGTTCCAGGGGAATCCAATGCCTTCTTCCAACCTCCTCAGGCACTACACAACATGGGTGCACTTACACACATGCAGGTATAACATTCATACACATAAAAAAAGAATAAAAAAAAAAAAAGTATACAGCTGGGCATGGTGGCTCACACCTTTAATCCCAGCACTTGGGAGGCAGAGACAGCCAAATGTTTCTGAGTTTGAGGCCAGCCTGGTCTACAAAGTGAGTTCTGGGACAGCTGGGGCTATAGAGAGACCCTGTCTCAAAAAGACAGAAAAAAAAAAAAAAAGTATACAGTTCAGGAAAGTGAGTGAAGAAACTCTTTGCTTGTTTTCCTCATCTGCAGAATGGGTATAATATCACCAACCACCAGCCTTGTGGAGCTTGCTCTGAGATTTGATGACAGTAAGGCTACATGGTACCTGCATATCACAGGAGCTTAGGAAATGCTAGCTTCTCTTCTCTAGAAGAAAATACAAACTTCCTATACAATAGAACTCTTCTCAGGGCAAGGGCAGTACCTCTTCCTGCAGCTGCTGATGAGTGTGGAGGCAACACCCTGTGAGTGCTGACATTCCTCACAAGCTAAGGAAGGGTAGGGACCCTGGACCCAGAATGTTACCTGCAATGTAGCGAATCTCTGGCAAGCACATCATGAGATCAGGAAAGCGATTTGGCTGATGTGTATATTTATATTCAGTGAAATCCTGACAAATGTACCAATACCGCTTGTTCAACTGTTCCAGCTGTGAGGCACTGGTCAGACCCCTGATATCTGTGAAAATAAAAATAAAAAACAGACAGGGAATGAGAGAGTCTAATGTGAAAAAAAACACCAGTTTTTGAAAATGAAGTTATTAGGGGACTAGAGAAATGGTTTAGCAATTAAGAGCACTGACTGCTCTTGCAGAGGTCCTAGGTTTGATTCCCAACACCCACATGGCAGCTAACTGTCTGTAACTCCAGTTCCAGGGGAATCCAATGCCCTCTTCTGACCTCTGGGGGTATTATATGACATGGGTGCACTTATATACATGCAAGCAATATACTCATATACAAAAATTAATAAATAAAAAATGAAGTTATTAAATATGGTCATAATAGGGGATCTTTTCTCTCTGATGTAAAGAAACTAAGATCTAGAAAAGGGAAAAAAAAATAAGCAGTAAAAAAAAACATAAAGGGCAGTCCCTTGCTTGAGCCCTTAAGAGGGCTAAACAGGGTATTATAAAATTATACCTAGCTCTTAGTACCAAACTTACCCTTCACAGTGTCTTTGAATTTGTCTTTGATTGGAGAAAAATCAGAAACCTTGCTGATATCTACAAATTCAGGAAACTTACAAGCACACACTTATGCAGCATCTTCAGTGTCCATGTGTTCTTACTATTCTATCGTGTGTGTGTATGTGTGTGTGTGTGTGTGTGTGTGTGTATCTAAAAAAAAATGAGTAAAACATCTAATATAAATCATATCCAGACTCTGAGGTCCAGCACAAATTTCTTCTCCTCAAAGAAGTTGCTACTGCTCTTCTCTCACTGAGGTGCATTTGCATTTGGAGTTCTATCAGAACATAATACTTCTTCAGGGACCCGGGGTCTGCTTTCCCTGCCCCAAGGTCTAATGCTTGGCATGGGGCTTGACTAGAGAAGGCATGCAGAGCACTTGATAATTGCATGATGATGCACAACAGTCAGGAGAGTAGGAGATTTGCTTGCCTACACTGGGTCAGGGTGGGAAAAGGCAAAAAGAAGGGCTCGATCAAGAGTCTCTGGACTGGAAAACTGAATGCAGTAAGAGAGCACTTTTCAATGCCAGAGGCAGCAAAATCACCCAGTTCCACTCTGGAAACAGGGCATTTATATGCTACTTTGGAAAAAGAACAAATTCTCCTTCAAAGGCTGTTACTAGCAGCTACTACGTGCTACTTTACTGGTAAGGTACCCATAAATCACAACCAGCACTCTAATGAAAGAGCAGGTTTGATATGCACATGTGAGTTTTTGTGCACCACCATTCTTCCCTAGAACCATGGCCAGCCTGTCTCCAAGGCCTTATCTCCCATAGTTTCATCAGTCACTCTGCTCTTCTTCAGTCACTGGTAAACTTGGTACATATTTTAAATGACGCATGTTCTGTCCTTGGTGTCTGTATTTAAATGCATTAAAACTGACTAAACAAAGCGAATCTTCTTCCTTCCTCTGTGAGTTATAGACATTGTGGCATTTAGACTTCAAGAAAAAAAAAATCCAAAGTATTCCTTGTACTGCAAAGGAGGATCAGGATTAGGACTGAGGAGCATAGGCCTTTCAAGATTGGTAGCCACATAGTGTGACACATCCTGTGACAGACCTGGGGGTGGGGGGAGGGTCAATGTGTAAAATGGGAAAGCAGAGACTTACCAGCAAAAATAGAGACAAAAGCCGGGCATGGTGGTGCACGCCTTTTAATCCCAGCACTTGGGAGGCAGAGGCAGGTGGATCTCTGTGAGTTCCAAGGCCAGCCTGATCCACATAGTGAGTTCCAGGACAGCTGGGACTACAGGGAGACCCAGTCTCAAAAAAACCGGGGGAAAAAAAAAAAAAGAGAGAGAGACATAAACGAACTGCGCCCTCACCCTACCATACTACCTACTCACCTTGATTTAGGAAGTTAATTGCTTTCATGCACGCATACTCCTCATTGCTGACCTTTAGCTGATGGAACTTGTGATACAGGTAGATGAGCCGTTCAATCACCTCCATCCCTTCATCACTAAATCTGGGAAACAGATTTTATCTGGGGGTTATGATACCAGCAAAGACCAGAACAGGCAGATAGAGGAATCCTAGTTATCTATGACAGGAAAAGAAGCTAAACTCGGGGAAATGCAATCTATAGGCAGATCCAGGGCCTGTATAGTGATCAATGCAAGTTGCTGTTCTCAAGGTCAGATAAAATCAAGTAAATCCAGGTTCAAATCCAGCTCTACCACACATAGCTGTGAGATTCTGGGACAGTCATTTAACCCCTCTTAGCTTTGAGGTTTCCCTCATAGCGAATCCAGGCCAGCTAGACAGGGAGACCCTGTCTCAAAAAGACCAAAAAAAAAAAAAAAAAAAAAGGGCTTCTGAAACTTTTTACAATTTTGACACCTTATCACCTGAGGAATTTTTAACTATGTAAAGTGTATATAAAATAGGTCTACCAATCAAACATTTACTGACAATAAACCATAAAGAAATTAATTTTATTATTACTTTGTGTGTGTGTGTGTACACTGGGTGTCTTCCTCTATCGCTCTCCATATCTTTTGGGGAAAGGGGGTCTCTCCTTGAACCTGAGCCTTACCAATATGGCTGGCTAGCGAGCTCTGGGAGCTGCCTATTTCTGTCCCCTGCCTCCACCCCCGACCCCATGCTTCAGTTAGACACATGCCACTTTGTCCAGATTTTTACACGGGTGTAGGGGATCTGAACTTAAGTCCTCATGGTCACACAGTAAGCACTTTACCCACTAAATTGTTTCTCCAGCCCCAAGAAATTTATTTTAAGATAATTCTTGAGTATGCATATTTTACCATTTATTAAAATTGAGGAGCTGGAGAGATGGCTCAGCAGTTAAGAGCACTGACTTCTTGCAGAAGACCCTAGTTCAATCAAATCTCAGCACCCACACAGTGACTAACAACCATCTGTAACTCCAGTTCCAAGGGTCACAGGCACTGCATGCATGACACAGGTACATTTACATACATGCAGGCATAATACATATAAAATAATGAAAGCAATTTTGCTTATTTTTATATGAAGAATGAAATCTTAGCAGAGTATTTCACATTGCAGGACACATGGCATCTTCAATGTTTTTCAGTGTTAATCAATTTAAGAAAAAAAAATTTTTGGCGGGGGGGCATCTTTTTGAGACAGGGTCTCTCTGTAGCCCCAGCTGTCCTGGAACTCACTATGTAGACCAGGCTGGCCTTGAACTCACGGAGATCTGCCTACTTCTGCCTCCTGAGTAATTAAAAAAAAATTTTTATGTATGAGTGTTTTGCCTACATGTATGTTATGTGTGCCCATGTCAGATTTCCTGCAACTGGGGTTATGGACAGTTAATTGCCGTGTAGGTGCTGGGAACTGAACCTAAGCCCTCTGCAAGAGTGGCCAGTGCTCTTAACCACTAAGTCACCTCTATAGTCCCATCAATATTTTGATTTTATAATTGCCTATTGTGAGACACTTTGTATAAACAATTAGTACAAAATGTTAGAAGTATATTTAGGGCCATTTAAAAAATTATGGGAAATTCTGTTCTAATCTCAGGTCAAAATTCATTTAATGACCTTATGAAATTCAAGTATGCAACTTAAACAGCAGCTTTTAAAATCAAACTTTTGTTTTTTTCAGACAGGATCTCATGTACTCCATGGCTTTGAACTTGCCCTATACTATAGTTGAGGATGGTCTTAAATTCCTCGATCTGATTGCCCTCACCTCCCAAGTGCTGGAATTTCAGACATGCACCATCACATCCAGCTAAAATCAAACTTGATACAATCTAAAAATATACTAATTTGATACTTAAGTACAGAGAAATGATGATAGGACATTAAAAGTCTTTGTTTTCGGGGCTGGAGAGATGGCTCAGCGGTTAAGAACACTGGCTGTTCTTGCAGAAGACCCGGATTCAGATCCCAGCACCCACATGGCAGCTAACAACTGTTTGTAACTCCAGTTCTAGGGGATCTGACACCCTCTTCTGTCCTCTGCAGGCATTGCATGACACGGGTGCACTTCCATACATGCAGGCAGTACACATTTACACATAAAATAAAAAAAAAATAAATAAATAAAAGTCTTTGTTTTCTATAATTAGATCATTGTTTCCGCTGCAGGTGCAGGGCACTTTTGATTATCTATCTATCCATCTATCTATCATCTATCAAATATGTGTTATTAATCAAAATCTCCTTGGTTTCATGTGTAGAAACAAAAGTTCAGAAAGATTATTTACTGTGCTCCTAATGTATTAAGGCCCTTTCACACACATTCTTGTTTATCTTCCCAACAACTTGTGAGATAAATCATGTACTCAGAGATGAGGATGGAAAAGAAAAGTGACTCTACCAAAATTACATAATAAGGCTGGGGAGCCCAGGCTCAAACCCAGGCTTTCAAATTCCAAAAACAGAGGCTTTCCCCAGTGCTATACTACCTACCCCAAGTGCCCACCTGGAAAGGCTTCCACATGCTATCATGAGGAACCTTAGGAACTTGTGTTCCCACAGCACCTGAGCCTGGGCCCAGCCCCAGGAGAGTGCTGGGTGCTTCCCTACTGCTTGTATGATGCTGAGACTTGGAGGAAACAGTGTGCCTAGGGATGAAGACCACTCCTCATAAGAGCTCTTGCTGGTTTCACTGACAACTCCCTATATTACCTGTGTGGAGGGCTGGTGTGGGGATAAGATGAGGGAAGGCATAACAAAAAAGGCATGGAGAGCATGTTGACTTCTGTGTGGAGGTCCAGGAATGTACCAAGCACAAATAATACTCTGTCTGTTAATCAGCAACTCTTGCCCCAAGTGCTCACTCTGGCACTGTGGGACCTGCAGGTGTGTGGCTATCATCCAGACCCTGAGCTGTCAGTGACAAACTTGTTCCTGGCTGAGTTTTGACCTGAGGGACACAAAGGACCTCTCAAGTGTCTGGCCTGTGCATATGCCCATGACCTATCCTTTTTCCTGGGGACAACAAACCCCTCTTTCCCAAATATCTTACAAGAGGAACCATCATGGACCCCTGGCAGTGGTGGGGGCTGGCAGCCAGCCCAGTAGTCCCCACTCAGTCTCACAGCTTGGCTAAAAAGCTTTCCTCCACACCCGCATCCCACCCTTTGATAAACAAAGTTGTTCTCTGTTCCACGGTCCTGCTTTCTCCTTCAGCCGTTCCTCCTCCACATCTGCCCACTCCACAGTTCTGACACCCCTGTATTCTGCCTACAGATTATCAGCATTCAAAGCCATAAAGTTGGACAAACACACCCATTCTTCTTCTAGGTTCCTATCATACAAGCATGCTAGGACAAGGAAAACATTCCTGACAGGATCCCCCAAACCACTGGACCATTCAGTCAGCAATTGAAGCTGACATTATATAAGTTATATCCTGTTAAGGAGCTGAGAGGAGCAGTTGTCTCTTTCCCATTCATCTAAACGTATCTGCCCCCAGCAGCAGTCATCAGCTACAACCTTCAAGGAACTGCCATCTTCACATCCACACACAAGTCAGATTATAGCTCCAGGATAAATTCTAGAAAGTCACTCCTGAGAAGGCTCTTGGGAAATAAGAATTTAGTATAGGGTAATTAATGGTGGAGGGCTCAGGCTTTGGAGTACAAGAGACTTGCATGGTAATCCCGGATTCATCTTTTTCTACTTTCGTAGTTCTGCATTTTCACTTGAAACTTGTGGTCCTCATATCTGCAAGGCTAATGCTAGTGTTGTTCCCATAGGATGGCAGTAAGGACTCCCAAAGCAACATAAGTAAAACACTGAAGATAAAAATCCTAATTGTGGGCTGGAGAGATGGCTCAGTGGATAAGAGCACCGACTCTCTTGCAGAGTACCCGGGTTTGATTCCCAGCACCCACATATGAACCGTCCTTAACTCCAGGTCCAGGGGAATCCGAAGCTCTCTTCTGACCTCTACAGCATTGCAGGACACAGGTGCACTCACATACATGCAGGCAATATACTCATACACATAAAATAAAAATAATAAAATATTTTTTAAAAAATCCTAATCGTGCTCCAACCCACAGGCCTCTCTCCGGAGGCTTATACTGAGTTCAATAATATATAACTATATTAATTCAACTGTGAATCTAGAAACTTGCACCCACTTGTGAAAGAGATGTACTCTTGCTCTGGAGTGTGTTACTGAATATGTAAAGCTGTAGTGAAAAGCTTTTAATCATGTAGTTACTAAAAATTTTTTTAAAATATAATGATTTAAAAAAAATTCTTCAAAGCATAAAAAAAAACAACCCTAATCGTTAGTCATTATATAGCCACGGTTATTAGTACCACTGCCATCCCCTTTAACGCAACAAAAAGAAGACTGTTTCCTTAGTCTTACAGGCCAGGAAGAAACTTTCTAGAGACTCAGTCAGATGGAGCCAGTGCTCCTGAGAGAGAAGTGCCCATTAAAGTTCATCTAGCTCAAGGCATCTTTTCCAGGAGTAAATGAGTGTTGATTAGGGCCAGGAGCAGTCACTGGCTGGTTCTACAATCTACTTTAAATCAAATTTGTCCACCTCATTGCCTGATAATGTCTGGTTAAGGAATATGGGCACCATAAATTTGATTCAATATTTGAGAAGAGAAAAGGAGGTAGTCATGCATCATCTGGGAAAAGACTTTTCCTGATAGCAGGCACTCACACTCGAGTTGTGAAGATGTAAAGGCTGCCTAGATGAGTGGGAGTAGTGTAGGCAAAGTAGAAGCGCTATGGTCAATTAGGCTCTGGGCTTCTAGAAGAGAGGGGATGCTTAATTATGATAAACCTAGTTCCAGAGGCTCATACTTCCATATCCTATGAATATCTGGTCCTACATGCAACTCAGACTTCACAGACATCCAAATCACACTCAGAGTGGCTTATCGCCCATCATGTTCTTCCCAGCTGCTTTATCTTGATTAAAAGAATCTGTGCTCATCTGCAATGCTCCTTCCAAAACCCAAGAGTCACCCAACTTCTCCCACTCACAGTCCTCCTGACTTCACCTCCTTGACGTTCCTTTGCTTGGTGCTGCCCTCTCTATCCCCAGCTGCCTTCTGCAGGCTTGTTTTCCTTTACTTGGACATAGAGCAGCCTCCTACTCAGCTGTGCTCTAGTCTTGCCCACACCAAAACATGTTGTACTTTATAGCTACAGAAATCTAAGGAAATCTTTCTCAAATGCAACCTGATTAAGTGATTCCCATGATGGAATATTATTGGCATAATCAAATCCAAATTCTTCTTTCTTTTTTTTTTCACATGGAGTCTAGGCTAGCCTCAAACTCACTGTGCTGCCTTCATCTTCCAAAGTGCTGGGATTACAGGTGATCACCACCCTGCTCGGCTTTCAAATGTACCTCCTTGAACTGAACTGTCTGTACCTTTCTCTCCAGTCACTCCCCCCAGCCCCCCTCAGTTTTTGGTCTCGACATCCTTATCCTCAGGATTGCCTTTGGATTCTAGGCTCGCTAGCTTCTAGGACTTCCCGTTAGTCTCCTGCCTTCCTCTTGTTCTCTATCATGTACTTAGAAATTCCCACTTCAAGATGCAGCTCAAGATATAGGCATCCCTAAGGAAAGCTTTTCCTAATTCTGTGAGTACAACCCTCACTCAGTCTGGGCTTGAATAGTTCTTACACACTCCTCAACCTCCTCCAATGACCTTGCACTGTAGACTGCATCTGCTACTATCTGCCTTCTGTAAAATAAGAAGAGGATTTGCAGAGTCAGAAACTTGTCTGAGCTGGGTGTGGTCGTGCATACCTATAACTGAAGTTACTTAGGAGACGAAGCCAAGGGTTTTAAGTTTAAGGCCAACCTGGAAAACTTAATGAGATCCTTTTTCACAATCAATGAAAAAGGGCTGGGGATGTTACCTTGAAGGTATAATACTTGCATAGCATGTAGTGTGCAAGTCCTGAGTTTAATCCCTAGAGCCAGAAAGGAAGGGAGGAGGGAAAAAGAATGAAATGAAAGTAATCTTATTTGCATGATTTGTGTTCCCAGAACCCTTGCCCCCAACAACCCTTAAACAATACACGCTTAGTAAATGGTCATGGATTAAGAGATGGGCAGCAACAATGTTCTAGTTGGGACTGGGCAAAAGAACATTTTGATGATGGAAATGTCCTATATTTGCACTCTACAATAGAGTAGCCACTAGCTAATACACATGTGTCTAATACAAATCAGGAAGTAAACTTTTAATTGTTAATCTAGATTTTAAAAGTCATACGAGGGGCTGGAGAGATGGTTCAGTAGTTAACACTGAACACTTCTCTTGCTGAGGACCCAAACTGGGTTCCCAGTACCTACATCTGGTGCTCACAACTGCCTGGAACTCCAGGTCCAGGGGATGCGATGCCTCATCTAGCCTCTGTGGACATTGCACTCACGTACTCATGATTTAAACATATACGCATGGTTAAAAAAAAAAAAAAGTTATATGAGGTTAGTGGCTGCTATCCTAGACAGAGCAGCTCTAGATCCTTCTTGGTAAGAAACCTATCCAAGTAGTAAAAATTCCCTTGGTAATTCATCTAATAGTGGCCCTGCTTTAGTTTGGGGGTTAGGGAAGTGATTATGACTCAAGTGGGATAGGCTAAATGCCTTAAAAAGGTCAAATCCACAGGCAACCCTGCATTGGCCAGAGAGCCCTGCCTATCTACAGAGAACCTGGAAAACTTTTCATGCTACAGGGAGGAGAAGCCAGAGGCAGACTTTATAGGCAGTCTCAGGATAAACTAGTAAATCCCAGGCTACAGGGACGCTGGGCTCCCCGAGGCCAGTTCTGCAAACGGACAATATCACAGCAGGCTAACTGCTATCCAAACATCCCTTTGACCCAAAGTTATGGAGCTGGAGACAGGCATTTGATGGAAACAATGAATTAGAGGCTCCAGACAAGGGGTTAGGTCATATCTGTAAAATAGACAGCTCTGTTTATAGGACAAAGTGTCAGCTGGGTTCAAAAGTGTCATGTATAGATTGCCCTGAAGCCAGTAAGCAAGGAAATACTAGAAAACCAAGGGAGAGGATCAGTACCCGGGCTCCTCCCCCACTCAACTGTGCATAGGGCTCTTGAAGGTCTTAAAGCTTTGCTCCCTGCTTAAGCTTTGGTCTTGTTTTATTTCATGCACTGCACGGTGGGAGTAGATGTACCCCAGTCCCGTGAAAAGAAGCATGGGAGCTAGTACTCCACCTTCTTCATGTTTCTACTCTTCTTCTTCTACTTAAAAATCCCATGACTTCCATTATTTCGAACTGTCTAATAAAGGTTTTTATTGAAGTATCTATTTAAGTATGAATTAAGCTATACAAGACAGTTCATATGAATAAATTAAAAAGCCAGAAAAGTTGTTGGCACAGAGATGGTTGTCTTAACTTTGGATTCAGAAACTAAGGGTTCCATTTGCCCTAGGTCTTCAAAGGAAGTGACTAGAAAAGTGCTTGGACAGGCTATGAAAGCAGCAGAAAGGAAGACAGCCTGTTCCAGAGAGGGAGATTAAAAGGTGTTGGTTGGCCAGAATAAAACCCTACGTCAAAGAATGACCAGGAGACCCTCTTGACTCGGTCCCACACTCTTAACATCTCACCCTATTTCAGATACCACAAAAGGTCCTAAGCAGTCAGAGCAAGCTAGGTTCAAAGCCAAACCCCTTAAGGGCAGGGCTCCCCAAACTTCAGCTTTCTTATCAATAAAACAAGCACAATAGTACCTATAATGCTGTAAGCTGTAAGAAAGAAAAAATAATACAAAGTATTTAGTCTAATGTCTGGCTTATACTCCAAACCAAAATGACTCCCAAGTCTCTGATTTTAAATTACAGAGTCCCTTTTCCCCTGTGGTTAGAGTTTAGATATTTATTTTTCCACATGTATCACCTCACTAATACAGAGGGAACATTAAAACAAAGTAGAACTCAGCTACTTTGACTATAGAGCACTTATTCTCCACATCTGTCTTGTGGGGGACATAGTGCTATCACCCAGTTAGTGTGCTTCACGTAATGTTGTGAGGATTCAAATCCAGGCCTGTGGGGTTTAATGCTCAACCTTTGGAGAACTAGGTAGTCCTGCTGTTGAGGGGGGAATGATAGTTTGTTTGCTTGAGATTTTCTACAAAGACATTAGCCCTCACCTATGTAGTTCTTCATCGGAGGGTGAGTACTTGGCAGTGACATCAGCCAGCTCCCCAAAGATCTGCTTGCTGTAAACTGTAAGGGATGAAAGCAGGATTAACTCCTGCCATGTAGAGCTCAAGAGGCACGTGTAATCCTTGATTGAGAGCTCGCAGAAGAAAGGCAGCTTCTTGATCCAGGCAATCTGCCTAAAGAGCAGCTCGTCAGCCAGGCGGCAAAGCAGAGCAAATAGCTCTGCTTGTGTCACAGCATACCTAGGGGTAGGGACAGGAGAAAGTCACTTCCATCAGCCAGAAAGTGAGGATAGGAGCACAGGAGGAGGGTATTCCTTGAGGGTACAAAGTGTTCTGGCAGTGGGCCCCTTGCCCTTGACCATGGATTTCCAGTTTTGCTTAATTTCTTATAAAGGGGTAGAACTGAGACCAGCAAAAAGCTAGAGGCCAGTGAAAAGGATTTGGTGAGGATGGGTTGCTAAGGGAAAAAGGGAGGCTTAAAAATTACTAGGGAATATTACTTTTAATGTTGGTGTGCTTCAATGCTCCATGCCCTAGAAGAAATTCTCTCATTCATGCTCTAATTTTGGTAATCAGAACTCCAATGAGGTGGATCTGATGCCCACCTACCTAGTACGAGGAAGTGTGCGTGTGTGTGCGTGCACACACACACACACACACACACACACACACGTACATCAGGTCACACATGTCCAGATAGCCGAAGAGAACAGATGGAGTTCAGAAGCTTGTTCTGTTCTCACTGCACCCCCTGGTGGTAAGCGTTCAGGAACCAGAGTTGCTCTGCCTTTCCTTTAAGCTATTTCTCAGCTCTGTCCTACAAGAGGCCTTCTGAGGCCACAAACTCTACTGCCTCAGATTTACTCCTCTCAAGGCCCCCTGGTACCCTCTTTCTCATACCCCACAACCAGATATATGAAGACTTTGGGGGACCTTTGAGCTAGATATTTAAGTCCCTTCTTCTGAAACTGGAGTCTAGCTTAGGTAATTTCAGGAAACCTTCTGCAAGGTCTAAAACTGGTAAGACTCCAACAGCCCGTGTTCTCCACTCAAGGAGTAATGGATGCAACAATGCTGAACTACAGCCTACTCAGGTAAAGTCAACTGCAGACTAGAAGTATTTCTTCCACCCACACCAATGTAGCCCATGGCTTGAATGATTCATTAAGGAACCTAGACCTGATGTATCAGGATTATCCCCCAAATTAGAGCTTCTCTCTGGCATAGGAGCAACTATTCCAAAACCTGGTTTGTACCTAGACCTACAAAGAAACAAACTTTTGAACCCAATTTCATCAGGACTGAAAAGCAACCTTAATTCTATGAGAAAAGATGCTTAACGAAATAATGAGGAAATAATGCCTTCAAAGACAAAGTTAGGGGTATACCAGCCAGGGATACAACTGGTATGCAGTAAGGTTATTTTGAGACTGCAAGGGGCCAAGCAGGGCAGAGTTTACTCACCCATCCTCAATCAACATGGGAGTGCCTAATGGTTCCAGGTCCTCAGCTGACATCAATTGGTGAATCAGACTGTAGGACTGCGGATCCAGGCTTCGAGCTTGTGGAGGCAGAAGTGGTGAGTGACCAGAGTAGCTAAAAAGGTGCGGTATATATTGATAATGTGGAGGCACCGACATTCCCATGTACTGATCCCTGAATGTCATGAATCCATTTAGTTCCACAGACCTACTGGAGAGAAAAACATCATATCAGGCAAACCCATCATGGGAGGTCAAATACCCACCAAAAAGAAACATACCAAATATGGCTAAAGTGTTCCTTTACTATGAGGTCTGTGTCTCATTAAGGCCACAAGACAAAATAAAGGTCACATGCACGCTTCCCCTATTAGAGTCCCATCTGTGAGACCCATCTATTTGGGTACATAAATATGGGGCTTACCATTGGCCAACTCAGTGACCAGCAGAATAGATGGCATAGCTAAATATCAATTGGATGAATTGGTATTATCTGTTTGTGTATCACTAGGGATTAAACTTAGCACCTTGCTTATGCTAAGCAGGTGCTCTGTCACTGTGCTATATCCTAACCCTCTTTTTACTTTATATTTTGAGACAGGAACTCATTAAATTGCTTCAACAGGCCTTGAATTCACTTTGTAGCCTAGGCAGGTATTGAAGTTGCAGTCCTTCTGCCTCAACCTCCTGGGTAGTTGGGACTATAGACCTTTATCACCAGGCCCAGTTTGGAGAGTTTTTAATATATATTAATATTAGTCTACATTAAAAACAGGTGTTGGCCGGGTGTGGCGGTGCACACCTTTAATCCCAGCACTTGGAGGCAGAGGCAGGCATCCTATGAGTTCAAGGCCAGCCTGGTCTACATAGTGAGTTGCAGGACAGCTAGGGCTACAGGGAGACCTTGTCTCAAAAAGACCAAAAAAATAAAAACAAAAAATAAAAACAGGTGTTTAATTTATTTTGCTGTTAGGAAAACAAAGGCATAGATACACAAAGCAGCCTAAACTAGGTCAAAACCCAAAATCCAGGACCTAGCAAAGAATACAGCATAGAGGTGTTAAGTCCCTAACTATTCAAAAGAAGGAACAAAGAACAGACAGGAATAAAGGCTATAATTAAATATGCAGAGAAAGGCAGATTTTTCCCTGAATCCTCTTAGAGAAATCTAACCATTTGCCAATTAACTCTAATTTTTTTTTCTAGCTTTTCCTAGAGGTGTTCCTATAACCAAATTTGGCAAATTACAGTCTATAGGCCAAATCTAGCCTATGGCCTGTCTTGGCAAATTGTTTTACTGTAACAAAGCCACACTCATTGGTATACACATGGTCTTTGCACCATTAAGGTAGAATTGGGGAGCTGAGACTCGGACCAGGCTGGCAAGGCCTAAAATATTTACTATATGACCTTTTTAAAAGGAACAGTTTTTCTCCTTTTATTATTTGCATATGTGCATATGGGGGTGCGGGTGTGAGTCCACACTGGTATGGAGGCTAGAGGTTGATGTCAAGTGTATTCCTCAATTGCTCTTTACCTTATATTTTTGAGACAGGGTATCTCACAGAACCTGGAGCATGCCAATTTAGCTAAACTGGTTGGCCAACAAGCTCCACTAACTGTCCTCTCTCTGTTTCCCCAGTGACAGGATTTCAGGTGTATATCACCATGCTGGGACTTTACATGGGTGCTAGGGATTGATCTCAGGTCCTCATGCTTGCATAGCAAACATTTACCAACTAAACCATCTCGTAGCCCCTACCATGTGACCATTTAAAGAAAATATTTGTCAACTCCTATGCTATATGAAAGATTTCCGGGGAAGGGAGACCTTCAAAGGTGGCAGAAAACTCTATTTCACAATTAACAGCTAGCAAGAAACCATGCTTGCACCACGAGTTTCTAAATTTGAATCCCCCAATAACACTGACTCTGGTGAATCAGAGAAATTTTAATTTTATTTAATATTGTCAGCATGGTTTGTGCTATTTGAGTAATAAAATTAATGAGAGATTCATTCCCCAGCATGACAAATAAATGAGAGAAGCCACTATGCTTAAAACGCTTTCTGTTAAGGGAAGACTATGTTACGTGGGCATACATAGAAGAGCCACTTCACTCTGCAAAAAAGACTGCTGACATTCATTTTCAAGGACTTTAGTAAACATTGGGCTGGGAAACCTGGCCTTGCACCACTGTGGTCTCCATGCCAAGAGCCTGCAGGACTGAGAGCACAAGGACTGGGACAGTATGGCAGAGGAGCACACTGCTAGAGGCCCTTTGATGATCCTGGTTTGCCTTAAAGCTCACCTGGATGACAGTGTGGAGCCTGGCGAAGGCTGGTTGCTCTCTGAAGCCCTGTTCCCAGGGGAACTGTGGTCACTGTCACCATGATTGCTCCAGTGATTGGCTTCTTCTTCAAACTCCTGTCCAGACATGATCCTTTCAATCTCTTCTTCTGATATCTTTGACAGGAAATGGATATAATGTTAGATTTGGTGCTCAAGATATCTCCTTTTCTTTCTTTAGGACTGAGAGGTTATTTAAATCTCATAAGATCCTTAAGTCTTTGTAAGGAGAATCCCAGATTTCCTCTCCTCCACCACCATCATCCAGGCCTCTCATAACCTTCAGACAGCTTGGCTTCCTGCCTCCCAACACCAAGGTCTATCATGGCTTTTCCCTTACCCATTTAACTTACTTTTATGCCACAAAGTCTAAATGTCCCTTAACTCTTGTCTGAGTCTTCACTTTTCTAACACTGAAACACTAGTTTTCAATGACAATTTCCCACCTGTCCTACCTAATACAAACATCATCTCTTTTATGATGTATTTACCAGCCATAGACAGAATTTCAGGTTCTTTTATTCATTCACAATTCTGTGTATTCTGGGAAAGGAAGAACAGCATAGTGGTTGATGGTGTAAGGTCTGGAGTCAGACTACTTTTGTTCAAATCCAGGTTCTGTCACTTCTGGTAGTACAATCTTGGGAATATTACTAAACTATGTGAACCTAAGTACCTGCACCTGTATGGTAGAGAAAATAACAAAAACCTTACCATACTCTTATGAGGATTAAATTAATTATATCAAATTCCTAGAAAAGGCCCAGTAACAGTAATAATTATGGAAGTGTTGAGGGTCAAATCATCACCATCTTTGGGTTGTTTTGAGACAGGGTTTTGTTATGGTGCCCAGGTTGGTCTTAAATTCTTGGGTTCAAGCAATCCTCATGTCTCTTCTTCCAAATAGCTGAGACCATTAAGTATGTGCCATCACACTGGACTGTCATTGTTTTATTTTTATTTTATGTGTATGACTGTTTTACCTTCATGTATATAAGTGCACCATGTGTGTGCAAAAAATGTGGAATGCTTCACAAATTTGCATGTTACCCTTATGCAGGGGCCATGCTAATCTCTGTATTGTTCCAATTTTAGTGTATGTGCTGCCGAAAGTGAGCACTGGGCTGTCATTGTTAAATAGCACTTATAGTAACCTATTACAAAAATATCCTCTGTAATACCTAAAGCCATGTTAGAACTTAGAAAAGAAGTACTTAATAAATGGATATTGAATAAAAAAGTGCTCATTTGTTAAGTACTGACATATACCTTCATAAAGGTTTTTTTTTTTTTTTTTTTTTTTTTTTTGAGACAGGGTCTCCCTGTAGCCCCAGCTGGTCTTGAACTCAGAGATCTGCCTGCCTCTGCCTCCTGAGTGCTGGGATTAAAGGTGTGTGCCACCATGCCCAGCTTCACATAGATTTTTAAGTAAGAAAGATATCTTTAAGTCTACTAAACAAACCATCAAGAAATTATCCAGGTATGGTAGGACATCCTTTAATTCTAGCATTCTACATGCAGAGGCAGGTGAACTGCTATAAGGTTAGGGCCAGCTTGGGATGGTCTACATAATGAGATTCTGTCTCAAAAACCAAACCAAGACACTTCAAGAAATTGTGTTCACATAAATAGGTTACAATGTGTGCCTATATCTGGCAGGAAGAAGAAATGGAAGCATGCTTAGTATACAGTGCTTTGTATACAGAGCAAGTAAACTTCTACAAAGTTTCTAACCTATGACTGAGGCCTAACTGGCCACAGTCAACAGAAGAGAGAGTGTATGCTAAGAAAAAGCCAGAAGAAATTTCAGGTTTTTCCTATGGAAACCTCAAAGGTCATTTTCTCCCATGCCTGTCTGATTCAAACCTGCATATATGTTCTAGTGGCCTCTGAGAAACCCTGAGCTGTTGTGATCAGAAACAGGAGCCTTCAGAACTGAATGCTAACAGGGCCAGTGAGATGCCTTGGAGGGTAAAAGTGCTTGCCACACAAGCCTGATAACCTGAATTCAGTCCCCAGAACCTATGTAAACATTAAAGGAGAGAACTGACTCTAAAGTTGTCCTCTGACTTCCACTCATGAACGATACTCATGGATTTGCACATACACATCATGCATGTGTGTGCACGTGCACACATACACACACACACACACACACACACACACACATAAAATAAAGCAAAAAAAAAAAAGAAAGAAAAAGAAAGAAAAAAAAGAAAAAAAAAGAAAACTGAGTGACAGGGAACACATAGGACTTAAGGGAAAACAAGGATTTAACTGGTAGATGCAGTGGTTGATCTGAAACCGTGTGGCTTACATACTGAAATGGGGAGAATATTTTGGAAAATTCAGTCATATGTAGAACACTGAAACAATTATTTGTAGCCTGAGTGATAGTTATGACAGTTAGACTTGAGTTTGATGGCCATGAAACAAAGATCTGGGCTGGGTACAAACAGCTAGTCCATGAAGGCAGCTTACTCCAGCTGGACAGAACCTGCTGGAAGTACTTAAACTTGGGTTCACATTTCTTTTATTTCCTAGTTAGGTACTACTGGGCAATCAAGTCACAAGTTCTCTGAGCCTCAGCTCATGTGTAAAATGGAGATAATATCACATCCCTTATGTTCATGGTTCTCTCACAGGAGCTAGAGCAAAGATGTAGGCAGGTCTAAGTCAGAGAGACTTGGAGGCTAAGTCCAGATAAACTTATAAAGTACAGGCATAGAATAGATGCCCAATAAATGCAAATTCCAACCCTCTTTGTTTTTATTATTATAGACCACAGCTAATACATCATCAATAAATAGTCAAAGACCAAAAGAATACACTCAGTATAAAAAGTCCAATGCAGTGGCAGGTGAAACAGCTACTCTGAACACTGGTATCTTCAATTCTAGAAGTAACAGGCTACAGAAGTGAGTATCCCCTGGCAGAACAGAAGAGTCATAAAGGATACTCAGAATACTCTAGGTACTACTAGAAGATGATTTTTTTCATTGGAGAAATATTTAAGAATTTTTCAGAATAGATAATTTATTATACCTAAACATGAAAGGAAGGCATGAGATAAAGGTCACATATGAAAAATCTATAGCTAGCTATTGTCATGTCATTTTGAAAATTGAAAGGTTTTCCTTTAAAATTGAGAGTAAGATAAAGACACCTACTCTCACCATTTTTATCCAACAGAGTACTGAAAGTACCCTAGCCTGAGCAACTAAGCAAGAGAAAGAAAAGCCAGGTGTGTCCACGTGAGAAAGCAGCTACAGATGACAAGAACTTACAGAAAACTCTTCTTTTAAAAATTTTTGGTCTTTTTGAGACAGGGTCTCCCTGTAGCCCCAGCTGGCCTGGAACTCAGTATGTAGACCAGGCTGGCCTTGAACTTACAGAGATCCGCCTGCCTCTGCCTCCCAAGTGCTGGGACTACAGGCATAGGCCACCAGGGTCAGTAAGAAGACTCTTAACATCCTACAAAATTATACATTAGACCTAACAAATGAATTCAGAAAAGCTGCAAAATATAAGATCAACATAATTCTCTTGTTAATATTATCAATAAACAATTTAAAAGGTCAATAATTCCATTTAAGATAGCATAAAAAGGAACAAAACATTTAGTAATAAATGTAAGATGAAAGACTTGTACAGTGAAAAGTACAAAGCATTATAGAAAGCAATTAAAGACACAAACATGTTTATGGATTAGAAAACTTGATGTTGAAAAAAAATTTTTTTTAAACCCTAAAATCTATATAAAACCAAAAAGACCCCAAGCAGCCAAGACAATGAAGCCAGAGGCTATATGCTTTCTGAATTTAAAGCATATTATAAAGCTACATTAATCAAAACACTGTGGTACTGGCATAAAACAGACAAATAGATCAATGGATTAAAATGGAAAGCTCAGAAACACATTCAGAATTATATAGTCAAATGATATTTAATGAAGATGCCAAGACTACACAAGAGGGAAAGAAGTCTTTTTGACTAACAGTGCTGGGCAAATTACATTCACATGCACGCAGAAAGGCAGTAGAGAATGAAGAAAGAGGTCTCTAATCTTATACCACACAAGAAGATCAACTCAAAATCTATTCAATATAAGACCTAAACTGTAAAATTCCCAAAGGAAGACAGAAGAAAAGCTTTTAACATTGGTCTTGGCAATGATTTAATGGATATGACACCAAAAGCATAGCAAAAACAGAAGAGTGGGATTACATCAAAGCTGCATGGCCAAGAAAGCAGCAAACCCTTGACAAGTGGCCTGTGAAGCTAGAGGAAAGGAGTCAGCCTCCAGAATACATAAGGAGCTCCATAGATCGGCAACAATGAACAAAAATAAGCCAATTAAAAAATAAGCAAGACGGCCAGGAGTGGTGGCACATTATCTGTAATGAAGCTGAGGAAGGAGAATCATGAGTTTAAGCTAGCCTGGGCTATACAGCCAGGCCCTGTCTCAAAGCGGGGAAGGGAGACTCAAACAGAATTTCTCCAAACAAGACAACTAACGGGTATATAAAAAGAAAACATTGTGAATCATCAGAGAAATGAAAATAATTATAAGATATTACTTCGTACCTATCAGGATGTCCATTCTAAAAACAAAACAGAGCTGGGCGTGGTGGTGCACACCTTTAATCCCAGCTCTTGGGAGGCATGGGGGCAGGTAGATCTCTGTGAATTCAAGGCCAGCCTGGTCTACATAGTGAGTTCCAGTCCAGGTGAGGCTACAGGGAGACCCTGCCTCAAAAAAAGACCCAATAATAATAATAATAATAATAATAATAATAATAATAAGAAGAAGAAGAAGAAGAAGAAGAAGAAGAAGAAAAAGAAGAAGCCAGCAACCCCATTTCTAGGTGTTTACCTAAAAGAATTGAAATTGCGATCTCAAAGACATATGGGTATTTCCATGTTTACTGTAGCACTATTCAAAACAGCTAAAGGTCTAATGATGGAGTGGATAGAGAAAATATGATATGTGGCAGCACATGCCTGTAATCTCAGCACTTCTGAGAATGAGGCAGGAGGATCGCTATTGAGTTCAAGGTCAGTCTAGGCTATACAGCAAAAACATATCATCCCCCCTTTCCCCCAAAGTGGTAAAAAGGCACAAACAAGAGGAAATCCCATTATATGTAATAAGGATGAACCCTGAGGTTCTTATGCTAAATGAAATAAGCTAGTTATGGATGACACCTTTTACAAGATTCCATAATTTTAGAAGCAGAAAGTAAAATGGATTCCAGCAACTTAGAGGAGACAAAGAACGCTAAGTGGCATTCAATGGGTAGAGTTTCAGTCATGAAGATAAAAAAAAAAAAATTCTAGAGGTCTGCTATACATATATTCATTTGATGGGTGGGCCATAAAGTATACCCAATTCTCTATCCTCAGGAAGAGGGGTGTAGGTTGGCCCCACAAAGGCTTTATTTAGGAGCCAAAGTTAAAGACAGCTGAGGCCACTCCTTAGAGATTCGAGGAATTTGCTTTATTTCCTGTTACTCTACTATATGTGCTTTATTGAACTAACTTCTCAACAGCTCTTGAAGATTTGTTGTGGGTCATTTAATAGTCTAATCTGTCTAACATGAATCAAAGATGCTTAGCTTGGGGCTGGAGAGATGGCTCAGAGGTTAAGCGCACTGGCTGCTCTTGTAGAGGACCAGAGTTCAGTTTCCAGAACTCACATGGCAGCTAACTCCAGTTCCAGGGAATCTGATGCCCTTTTCTGGCCTCTGTGGGCATTGAGTGACACGGATGCACTTACAAACAGTCAAAACACTCATACACATAAAATAAAAATAATTTTTATTTTAAAAAGAGAAAAAAGATGTTTAGCTTCTCAATACAGCTAACTCTTTCTTTAAGACTCAGTTCAAAAATACCTTAAGGAAGCTTTCCCTGAGTGTTTCTAGACTGCAAAGAGAACAGGAGCTCTGCCTTTCTCATTCAGGGAGGATGTACTCCCTGGGTATCCTCTGCTACCTCTCAGTGAACTGTGGTATCTATCTGCCTCTGTCTCTCATCAGATTGAGTCTACAGTACAGAGACTGGCAGAGTAGAACTGAGTACGCACTGTTATTCCTACTCTACAAGTACGGAAATGAACAACATGTAATTTTCTGACTTTCTGCCAGGTTAAGTTACCTATGACTTTAAGTGGTTTGCTGAAAGGGGGACGAATAATTCTCTGGATGGTTAGAAACAGAACCAAGTTCACTGCCTGTGAAATTCTTAGGAAGAATTGAGGGATTATGAGAAGAACCCGAATCTTAAGGTTTTCAAAGAGCGTTCACATTTAGGCTCTAAAAGCAGTTTTATAGGAAGGAAAGCAAAGATGGCTACCCTGGTTGCAGAAGAGAAGATCAACGTAAATAGCTACAGAAGCATTTGGGGCACTGGGCTTCCAGGACATACTTAGGGAATGGGCCCAGAACTCACCTGGACTGGCCCAATGCTCTTATTCCGGCCTCCAGGCATGCCATCTTCTCTAATAGCTGGAAGGAAAGAGAAGACAGTTAAAAGCACACTCACATAAGTTTATGAACAAAAAGGAAACTTACTTGGACAAAAGTATAAGGTAGTAAGTGGTGAGGCCAAGATTAAAACATGGGCCTTTTTGGACCCAAAATGCACTTTATTATTACAGGCTACTCATAAGCAGCAGCTACTTTTGGGTCCCCAAGGCAATGGGTATATATTATACATACTGTACACATTTAAGATGCTCAACAAGGGCCAGGCATTGAGGCAGATGGATCTCTGTGAGATAGAGGCCAGCCTGGTCTGTAGACCCCAGGCATACACATGCTGGGGCTACAGGGAGACCCTGTCTCGGGGAGAAAAAAAAAAAAGATGCTCAACAAAAATGGCAGCTTTGTTACCAAGTCCCACAGTTACAAATATACCACCAGGATGGTGTATCTGAAGACTCTGGGAAATTTCAGGGATGGATTGAAGAATATGTGCATTTTAAAATAAAATATATTTTATTTCTGCCTAGGATTAGGTCTAATGTATAGAATTAGTTCTAATTTATAGAATCAGAACAAGTTTGCTATTATTTGTTTGTGTTGTTGTGCTTCTGGGAGAACCCAGTGTTCCACACATGCTAAGCAAGTACACTACTACTGAGTTATATCCTTAGCCCTGGAAAACATGATTTTTGTCCTTAACTTTTTATTAATTGGAACATCTGCTTCTCTAGTTCCTCCCTACAAAAACAGTATATCGAAGTTGAAGGAACTTAATTAGTATTTTCTGACTATGCAAAGAATCCTTTAAATAATACCAGCCTTACTAAAACTAAACACCACCATTATTATCACTGCTTTGGGTTTTAAACATCTATCTATCTATCTATCTATCTATCTATCTATCTATCATCTATCTATCTATCTATCTATCTAATCTACCTATGTATAGCTATATCTATCTATATCCATCCATCCATCCATCCATCCATCCATCTATCCATCCATCCATTCATGTTTAGACTAGGCTGGCTTGAATTCACTATGTAGGTGAGGTTGTTTCTTTTTGTTTTCACCTCCCAAGAGCTGGCACTAAGGGCATATACCACTGTACCTTGCATGACTCATAATGGAGTACTTAATATGGGCACAGAGTAGTAACCAGATTTGGAATTAAAGTAGGAGCCTAGTGTCAGACAGGTTTCTGAAAAGACTACACTAGTGAGCCAGGAGATAAGCAGCAATGCAGGGGAATAATATGATTACACTGGCTTTATTTTGGGGGGGGGGTCTTTTGAGGCAGAGTCTCCCTGTAGCTCCAGCTGGCCTGGAACTTACTATGTAGACCAGGCTGGACTTGAACTCAGAGATCCACCTGCCCCTGCCTCCCAAGTGCTGGGATTAAAGGTGTGTGCCAGCACCCCTGGCTTTGCACTGGGAGTTTTGAAAAAAAAAAAAAAATGTGATGGCCACTGTACAAGGAAGGAGGTAATGTTAACCACAAACAGAAGATAAATTAATGTATTATGTGAGAATAAGTCTGGCTATAATAACCTATAATCAAGACAAAACAAAAATAAAACTGAAACCATAGGGAAACAAAAAAGTTAAAAAGTCCTTGGGGTAGGGGGCAGGTAGATGTCTTCAAAGGTGAGACCTTCAATCATGGGGCTCAGTTTCTATAGTCAAGTAAACATCACTGTTGGTGTCCTCAAAAGATTATAGACTTTAGGCCAGGCACAGTGACACAGGCCTTTAATCCCAGCACTTGGGAGGCGAAGGCAGGTGGGTCTCTGTGAGGCCAGCCTTGTCTATAGAGTGAGTTCCAGGCCACCTGGGGCTACAGGGAGACCCTGTCTCAAACAAACAAACAAACAATACACTTCACAATCAGACAAATCTGCCTGCTTGGTATTACAGTCAAAATTTTTTCACTCCTCTGAATCTCAGTTTACTGGTACTTGTAACATTATATCAAATAGTATGACTTCAAGCCTGGTATATAAAGCAAGCACTCAGTAACAACCCCTTCCCTCTTTTCTCTGAACAGAGGGGTTAAACAAACCAAGATTCCTTTCTCAAATTTGTAAGAGTATTAAAATCTTCATCTGAAAAACTGCAACAACTTAATCTACTTTATTAGCTTGCTGTGAATCTCAAGTGAGAAATATGCATAGCCTACATAAAAATAAATGTGTACTAGCTATTGTGTGGAACTTCTCTTTTAATCCCAAGTTTTAAAAACCTTTAAAATACTTTTCTTGTTCTTTCAGAGTCAATGACAATTTTGAGCCACTTCCAATTCCAATTCTCACAAGTCTTGGCTTCAGCTCCCAGCTACAGAATGAAGACATCACTGGCAGATACAACACTGAATAAGTTTCATCTGGTATCACTGTCCTGGAGGTAAGAAGAACTCAACAAGCTTTATGTTTCTGTTTAAAGGACCATGAATCTTAAAGACTCACCAGATGGACATGATGCTGTGTGTCAGATACTATTATTTCGAGTAAAAAAAAAAAAAAGAGGGGGCTGGAGAAATGGCTCAGCGGTTAAGAACACTGACTGTTCTTGCAGAAGACTCGGGTTTGAATCCCAGAACCCACATGGTAGCTAACAACTGTCCAGGGGATCTGACAGTCTCTTCTGTCCTCCGTGGGCATTGCATGACATGGGTGCACTTACCTACATGAAGGCAATACATGCATACACATAAAATAAAAAAATAAAAAATAGCCGGGTGTGGTGGCATATGCCTTTTATCCCAGCACTCGAGAGGCAGAGGCAGGTGGATCTCTGTAACTTCAAGGCCAGCTGGGGCTACAGGGAGACCCTGTCTCAAAAAGACCAAATAAAACAAAATAAACATTTTTTTAAAAAATGAGTAAAATATTATCCATTGAAGGACTGGCATCGAAGGTTCAGAGAACAGAGCAAAGAGACACAGAAATGAAACATCAGAATCAGGACTAGAACCCAGGCTTATATGAGCCAGGCTGCTTTCCAATACCAGTCTTTCCTACAGTAAATATGAGCCTTTTGATAGAAATGTAAGATGCTTGTAGGTGGTACATAAGCTCTTAACTATAGATTTATTCTGATGTGCATTAAAATACTTAATTTTTTTTTTTATTTACTAAGGTGATAAATTCCCTGGTGTACATGGTGAGTTCCAGGCAAGCAAGAGCTACATAGTGAGACCATGTCTCAAAAAACAAAAACCAAAACCTTGCATCATATTTTAAAGCATCTAATGTCATATGCTATTTTGCTGGATCTTCACAACCACCCTGAGAGGTGTACACTGTTAATGTCCCATGCATTTTCAAGATGAGGTAATGAGGTAAAAAAGACTTGTTCAGGGAAGAATGACAGAGTCGAAATTTCAAAGTAGGTCTTCTGCCTCTAAAGATATGCTTATTATTTTTCTGTTTGGTTTTTTGAGACAAGGTCTAATGTAGCCCAAAGTAGGCTTCAAACTAACTATGTAGATGAGGTTAGTCTTGAACTTCTAACCCTACTGCCCTGCTTCCTAGAGTAATGAGATTACAGGTGTGAGATACCATGCCGGGCTCTGTGCTTGTTCTTTGATGTTCCACCAGTCTAAGATCTCAGTGTTGTTACAGGAGAGCCTCTCCTGTAGGCTCTAGTCCAGTCTAAGGGCCAGCTATGACTTCTTTATCTGCTTAGAAGCAGCACACATGCTTTTCCTTTGTTGACTTATGTGCCTATCATTCCTCACCCAGAAATCAGAAACACAAGGAAGATATAAACTGCATCAAAGCTCTGCTTACAACCTGTTGGTGGCTCTGTTTGGTCTAGGGGCTAAATCTAAGATGCTCTGTGATCCAGTTCCTGTGGAACTTCCCAGGCTCATCTCTTGCCACAAATGTGACACCTTATCTACAAAGCACCATACCTAGGTGATGGCACTTTACCCAAGTGATTCAGATCAACACCACCAATAATAGAACAAATTATATGCTCTTGATATGATATACCAAGGACAAAGCATTATTTCTATGACATTCTTGCCCAAAATGTGGAACTTGAATCTATGGTGAAGGAACTATCAAACCCAAACTGAGAAATAGTCTACAAAATAAATGACCTATTTGCCTCAAAAAAAATCAACAATGTTAGCAGGGTATGGTGGTGCAAGCCTTTAATCCCAGCACTCAGAAGGCAGAGGCAGGCTCTTTGAGTTCAAGGCCAGCTTGGTCTACATAGTGAGTTCCAGGCCAGCTGGGGCTATAGGGAGACCCTGTTTAAAAAGAACACACACACACACATTTAAAAGTAAATAAAAAAAATTAAGACCTCCCTAGGATGGCTTGTAGGTCAGAAAAAATACAAATACAATAAAAGATACCGGGATAACTGGACAAAGGTGAATACAGTCTACTAATTATATAGTATTACATCATGCTTAATTTTCTGATTTTGATAACAGTATTGTGACTATGCTGGATGGAAACAATGTCTATAAATTACTTATAAATGGCCGTGTGTGCTGGTGTACACCTTTAGTCCCAGCACTCGGGAGACAGAGGCAGGTGGATCTCTGTGAGTTCCAGGCCAGCCTGGTCTACATAGGGAGTTCCAGGTCAGCAGGGGCTACAGGGAGACCCTGTCTCAAAGACACCAAAAAAAAAAAATTACTCATAAGTGGTATGCATACATGTATATCCAGAAAGTAAGCATGTGCGTGCACAATAAATGGTATAAGCAAACTGAATGATAAAACAAATGTGACAAAATGCTAAAAATTGGTGAATGTGACTGAAGATTGCAGTAAAGTTTACTGCTGCAAGTTTTCTATAAGTGAAATCATTCTTAAATAGAATAAAAATAGAAACAATTTTTCTTTTAAAAAATTCTGTAATTGGGGGCTGGAGAGATGGCTCAGTGGTTAAGAGCACTGGCTGATCATACACAGGACCTGGGTTCATTCCCAGCACCCACAAGGTGCCTAACAACCATCCCAACTCCAGTTCCAGGGAATCTGATGTCCTCTTCTGACC